ACCCTGTAGATGACGCTGATTGATGTGATGATTACCTAGAAAAGGTGGAACAAATCTTCAGAAAAACCCCAAAGAATGCGCCCCCATCCTTTCGAGGGACATGAACGTCAAAGTTAGTCGATTTAGCGAAACGAGAATATTATTGCAAGTATATAATAATCGCGGACCTTTACCGACAGAAATGCTTACCAAGAGTAGGACTACGACGTGGAATAGGTTCTTTCGAAAAAGACGAGGTGACTGTGGACTTGGCGAGGACGTAATGGAATGGTTCATAATTCAGACCAGATTGATCCCCCGGCAACCGCCGATCTCTCCCTTCCAGGGTCAAGCGTGCGTTGAGGATCCTCGACAAGTCACAGGAGGGGGAGAACGGGTCGGATTGATGCAGTAGGATCATCACTGTAAGAGGACAAATATCAAGGATCGAATCGGTGCCATGGAAGGCCGGAGAGTTTTCAAGAATAACATCCGCCCGCATACAAATCCTCGTGATGATTCAGAGGTGTCTCGTATGAGTGTGAATTCCAAGTTACGTCAGAGTTTTATCACCGACACAAGTTAAAGAATCCGAAATTCGCACGTTTTCCAAGGGATATTTTATCTTTCAAGTGAGTCCTCGAATCTGAAGGGATGTGAAGCACACGGCGCATCCCAGAGTGGGCCCAGTTGTTGCGCGCGCTTCAACTACGGCTCTCTGGAGAAAAATCTCAATTCAGGAAAATCGAGAGAATTCTGAAAGTGTCCATGCGAAGTTTACAGGGAATCCACTACATATTCAACAAGAAATGCAGCCTTCAGCGTCAAATTCATAAGCATGTAATCGTCAAAGTTGAGATACGCTAAACATTTTACACTTTTGGAAGAAAAAACACGAGGATTCCGAATCTGCTCCTACTCTGTTATATAATCGTCCCTGAAAGGAGCTATAGTCGTTGAAATAGTGCCAATGCAGCGAAAAGTATACAGGGTGGCTACTAAATATTGGCGCATGGTTAATTGACCATATTTCCAAAAAGAGAATCTATTAAATCTTCAGAGGTTTATCTTTATATACAGTAGAACATAACAATTCATTACTAGAGAAGATGCTCGGAAAGAAGTCCTCCGGCGGCGATACAGGCTTCAAGTCTCTTCTCAACTGACATCACCGTGGGCCGCAAGCAGTTTTCGTCGAGTTACTTCAACGCTTCCTCCTAGGAAGCCTTTCAGGAAGTCCAAACTTCGATGTTGCCTAGAAGGCATCTTCTGCTGCAGGAAGCCCCACACCGCAAAATCCATTGGGTACAATCGGGTGAGTTAGATGGCCAAACATCTGGTGACCAGTAACCTGGAAAATGGCGGTCACAGAACACCAGCGTAGATTTTGCGGCATGGGAGGAGCCTAGTCTTGCTGAAGAAGGCACTGACATTTGCTGGAGGTCGAAACAGTCCATGGAACGAGCACATCACGTAAAATTGTTTCCTGGTAGATCTGGGCGTTAATTTTGACGGATTTGTCCACAAAGACAAACGGTGTCTCGGTGTCGGAAGTAATTCCTGCCTAAATCATGACAGATTTTGGAAATCGGCTCCTTGTGTGCGCACGACGTCGAGCAGGATGCCTGCTAGCCGGATCCAACAATTGCCTGTCCTTTTGAGAATTGTGCGCCAATTCCAGTGTGATGATCTTCTCGCGTCACGTTGACGTCACTTACTTGCGGCCCACGGTGATGTCAGTTGAGAAGAGACTTGAAGCCTGTATCACTGCCGAGGGAGGCCATTTCGAGCACCTTCTTCAGTGATGCATGGATATGTTTTACTGTATATAAAAATAAACTTCTGAATATGTAATAGTTTCTCTTTGCAAAAATATGGTCAATAAACCATGCGCCAATATTTAGTAGCCACCCTGTAATACCTTTCGACGGTACTCGGGCAAAAATCCTCAACGTGGCCATTTTTCGAATACTGGACGTATGGAGCTGCTTTAGTAACCATTTGATAGAGAAAATCTTCTAGTTTTGTCTGCCATATCAACTTTTCGAATTTGACGAAAATGAAGCAAGTTATTGCTTCCGGAAAGTATAAAACTCATGCATTTTCCTCGTTAATTGGTCTAAATTTGTTATTTCTTATAAATTTTTGTAATTTAATACTGATTAGAAGTGCTCCTCACAAAATTTCCATATCTGCTTTATAT